TGAGCAATGAAAAAATTATTTTCCTGCTTGTCGGATAATTTTGGTAGCCACTGTATATACACTTTCTGAAAATGGTAAAGAGTGCCGATCGGAAAAAGTCCAATGAAAACGTACTTTTAATCTCATCAAGAGATAGCCCATAGTCGATAGTATCTATGGTAAAAATAATATCTGTTATAGCTTTTATCGTTGTTGAGAAAATAAAAATTTACTGAAAAGTATTGCACTACAAAATATATCAAAAGTGCCCTACCCCCTAATGGTTGTGTCCTCTATATCTCCAGATTGGCTTATTCATTTGAGCTGAAATTTTGGGTTTCTTCCTAAATATGTTAGGCCTACCTGCTGTGAAAATATCAGCCAAATCGGTGAAATCGATTGCGCAACGTCGGTCGTGACTTACGTGCAATGCCTCCTAAGGGATTTTTTTCCCTTAAACATGATTGATCTATATGAAAGTCTTCTTATTCTAGATATGATTATTCATAGTGCGATGCAACTGAGTCAAATAAATTTACTTTCAATATGTTAGTTATTAGAGAATGTTATCTTAAAACGGTTCTGGCAGTAGTCAAGTTTACTAAGCGCATGATAAAGATAGTCGATCAGATTATTTGTAAGCATTACTTTTAAAACCAACGAACTATTATCATTTATACAGTTTAGCATCTTTCAAGTCTTTGTTGCTGAAATGCATGGAGTTTGCACCTAATTAAACAATCTCTAATCAGAAACATGAATATATTTAATGTAAATGTTTTTGTCCATATTAAGAATGTTGATTTCATCTCACATTTCGAATCATAAAGATGTCTTCCGGTTGAATAACCAAAAATTACATAAAAAAGTTTTCAAAAATCTTGTTACAATCATACACACAAGTGATTATATACAAAAAGTCATGTGTTGCTCGTTTTACTTTTGCAGGGAATCTGTAGGGAGAAGATTTTCTTCAAAAAAGAAAAACAAGACTTTAAACTATTATAGAATCGATTACTTTCATACCAATTTGCAGTATTACATCAATCTCTTATTTTATGATTACCTGACAAACTTCACTCAATTTCAATTTTCCATCTCGTTTTCTCTCCATAGTCATCCTTAATTTGATTCCTCAGATTTATGTTTATTGATCATTGATGTTATTGCCATTCTACACAAGAAGACTCATTCAATTGTCGATTTGTTACGCCGAATCAAATCTTTACCAAAATGTTGATAAAGTACTTCAGTTACTCCCTACGCATGCACAAATCTGAGTAATAGCATGTCTTTACCTAATTTACAGAAACTCGTCCATGACAGTGGTAAACATACTGTTTGTGGTGAACAACAAGAATTAACGATGCATACGGAAGTATTTGATGCACAACTATAAGTAGCATTATCACATGGTTTCAAAATAGAACACAGTGCACCAGGAGCACAATAACTAGTAGTGTTGACTGCAATATATTCGAAACAAGGTGTTGATGACGAACGACACTTATTGTTATCATTCAAACTTGCATCACATTGTGGTAAAGAACAGCTTAATGTTGGTTGCCATGCAGAATGAGGCGACGACGACAATGTAAATTCGACAGCATTATTATTTTCATTACAATAATAATTAGGTGCTAGTGTAGTTTGACCTAAATATTGTTTATACTGTGAAATATAGGAAATGAGAAGAAATGCATCAACAAACCTTGTACACATGAGAAGAAGAAGCAGAAAAACAAAGCTACTACTAACCGCATGTTTTGTATGTAACGAATGAGCCAAAGAAGAATTAAAAAAGAATTTTTCTCTGATCTTTGTAAAAATACTGACTGATTTCGTCCTTCGACTTGAAGAAATCAAAATTTTTTCTTTCGACGTCTATTCATTCTCTTGAAATGAAAAAAAAGACATTCAAATGGCATTAATGAAACCTTTCTACGAAACTGATGCAGCATCTAACAGTTTGAATATTGTCGCCATTCCCTTTGTGTCTGGGGGTGGGTGCGTGAGGTGTGGCTGTGGGTGGGTATGAGTGTGGCTGAGTGTGTGGAGTGTAGATATGGCTGGGTGTGCGGGCAGTGTGTGGAGTGTAGCTGTGGCTGCGTGTACGGGTAGTGCACGCGGCTGTGCCTGTGTGTGCGGGGTGTAGGTGTGGCTGGGTGTGCGGGTAGTGCATGCGGCTGTGCCTGTGTGCGGGGTACGGGTGTACGCGTGGATGTGGGCACGGCTGGGTGTTTGGGGTGTGGGTGTCTGGAATGTGAGTGTGGATGTGAGTGTGTGGCTGCGGGCGTGTGGGGTGTGGGTTTGGCTGCTGCTAGGTGTGTGAGGTGTCGCTGTGGGTGTCTGGGGTCTGGGTGTGGGTTCCTGGGGTATGGATGTGGATATGGGTGTGGATATGGGTGTGTGGCTGTGAGTGGATGTGGGTGTGTGGGATGTGGCTATGGCTGCGCGGGGCATGGCTCTGGATGTGGCTGCGGGGGTGGGGTGGGGTGTGGATGGGTGGGTGTGGGTGTGGGGTGTGGGTGTGGGGTGTGGGG